CCCGCACCGACCGTACCTGCGCGCGGCCGTCGGCGTGCGACCAGCGGACGGTGGGCCGATCCGCGGGCAGTCGCGAATTTGGCGTCTCGAACCGTCGATGATCCGTTCGAGGCGGCCTTGGCGGGGAAGGCGGACAGCGGGCCGGACGTCGTCGCGGTCGTCCCGGTGACCGTTTCGACAGGGTACCGACGTGCGCGGATACGGTCACAAAAGCCACCGTCGACAGCGTCGCGGCGACGATCATCTGGGGCGACAGCAAGATCAAGCACCGTGCAAGGTACGCCGTCAAACGTGTAAACGAGCTACAATGCGCGTGTGTCTGGTGTGCGTGGCGTGAGTGTTTGTGTTGTTTTGTGTGTGTGCTGTGTTGTGTGTGTGTGTGTGTGTGTGTGTGTCGTTTGTGTGTGTGTGTATGTGTGTGTGTGTGGTGCTGTGTGTGTGGTGTGTAGTGTATGTGTGTGTGTGTGTGTGTGTGTGTGTGTGTGTGTGTTGTGTGTGTGTGTGTGTGTGTGTGTGTGTGTGTGTGTGTGTGTGTGTCTGTATCTGTGTGCGTGTGTACGGCTTTCTACATCCGCATTTGTTCTCCACACATTGAATTACACGAAAACCATTGAGGTGATGTTTAAAAAAACAACTGACAAAATAACCGTATGTATAATATGTTTAAGGTACTATGTTAGCCTAGTTTAACCTTTTATTGCCTTAGTTTTGACCTGATCTTCTTCTTGCTCGCCAGACATCAAGGTGACCTGTGACATCGACAACAACGTCATGCTGGTCGACATGGACTTCGAATCTGACTTCACGGGCATGATGTTCTGCAGAGGTTACTACAAGAGCGACCGCTGTAAGATTCAGTCGCGCGGAGGGCGCCATCATCGCATGGCCATCCCCATGGATCTCTGCGGCACCGAAGTGGTAAAAACGGTACATCGGCTATCGCGGTGCCGCGCGACGCATTGTACTAACGCCTGCACACGAATGCACTAATAGCTTCACTGCTGGGAAACAATTCTACGTTGCTCCTGCTTTTTTGCGAGTGTTGTTTATTTCGCTCAAGGATTTTTCTATTCTCGGTTGTTACACTTGCCGTTCGAGCTGTGGGGAAGACACGTGCGGATAAGATGGTGGTGGAATTGTGTAATAGGCTGGTATAAATTGCTAATTCTTTCGCACTGATACAGGCTTGAGCACCAGTTTCTTTTTAATACTTTTATATTTTAATCACTATAACACCATAACAAAATATTAACCACTGTGAACAACAACAACATCAGCGATAACAACAACAACAACAACAACAACAACAACAACAACAACGACGACGACGACGACGAGGACGACGACGACCGACTACGACGACGGCAACGACAATGAAGACAATAATAACTCAAACGACCACGGCGACGACAACAACAACGACATATACAACTGGAAGAAGCAGAATAGCAGCAATTTAGCGATCAGAAGCAGAAAAAAACGCGTAAATAATTGCGGTATATTAACTCTCTGAAACCACCGCTAACAACAACAACAACAACAACAACAACAACAACAACAACAACGACGACGACGACGACGACGACAACAACAACACGTTCGTTGCTGAAACCGGTGCGATGTTGTGATGCAGGGCAACAACTACCAGGACGACGTCTTCTACAACAACACCATCGTTGTCATGAACGACGCGGCGTTCGGTGTCATGGAGACGAACGACCGAGCCTACACGGTGTCGTGTCTATGGACGGGATCGCAGGCCCGCACTGTCGACACCGGACTACAAATACCGTAAGTTACCAAACCCAACAGTCCTCCACTCAGCAGCTATAGGTCGACACCGGACTACAAGTTCCGTAAGTTACCAAACCCAGCAGTCCTTCACTCAGCAGCTATAGGTCGACACCGGAATACAAGTGCCGCCCTCGGGCGGGTAATAACCAAGTCGGTGATTGAGCACTAGGGAGCGCTGCAGCCCGCGCTCGCGAGCATCACGAGCTACGAACAGTGGCTTCTACACTTACGTAATGTACGTCAGCACTTACGTAATGTACGTCAGCACTTACGTAATGTACGTCAGCACTTACGTAATGTACGTCAGCACTTACGTAATGTACGTCGCACTATACTTAATGTACGTCAGCACTTAGTAATGTACGTTCGCACTTACGTAGTGTACGTCATGCACTTACTAATGTACTTCAGCACTTACGTATATTACGTCGCACTTATCGTAATGTTACGTCCACTTAACGTAATGTAGGTCCGCACTCACGGTAATGTCGTTCAGCACTTTACGGTAATGTTACGTCAGCACTTACGTATTGTACGTCAGCCTTACGGTATATAAGCGTCAGTCGGGTTCTATTACGAAGGGGATCGCAGCAGCGTGCTAATTCATTTTAAATGATCGTGTCAGATTGGATCGTGCCCACGTAGCTTGAAGCGCGTGTGTGAAAGGAGCAGTAGGCAGCACGGTATTTACTATGATATATATATATATATACTATTATATTACTAATATACGTGGGATTTGTTCCGCTACAATAGCACCGATATATTGCGTTGCATGCGACGTTCACTGCTTTGCGTGCGTCTCCCGCGTTGCGCGTGCGCGCACAAAAAACACTAAGATAATAATGCCTATAAGTCATGATATTAAACTACGTAGCTGATTTATTATCTCCCGTTTTACGCAAGCGTGGCGATTTTATATATGTATATATATTACGTATATAAAACCTATATATATAAAAATGTCAGAGCCGTTGCTAGAAGTTTATCGGTTTCGGCAGCGCTACCTTAATATGGCAACTCCGTCATTAGTGTATATCGCGTTGTGTGTTAGGTTGGCTTATAGGAGCTGGCGTGAACTGTTCTGCCGAAATATGCCTTCAAAAGACAGATTTATTATAGCTCAGTAATTTCCGTTACAATTTTCTAGTTTTTACCTTATGCTCTTCATACTAATATAAAATAATTTTGTATACTAACTTTTAAATTGATGATGATGAGTGATGATGATGATGAATGATATAATACTAATAATAATTATATATAATATAATATAGAACAGAGAGCTTAAGAAGAAGAAGAAAAAGAGCCTGAAAATGGAAACAAGAAATTAAACTAAGATAATTATACGATAAACAACATATTTATATCGTCTAGTAATATCGTGATGCAATTCCATGTTACTCACATTGTTTTAGGTCAGAGGCCGGTGAAAGAGTTCGTGCGACCGGGACTGATCGATGAGACGGTGCCGACGATGCGGCTCCGAATCGTTCCCGGCAGATGCACCGTACGCTAGCGACGCGCGCGTCCTCAGCTGGGCGACACAGCGACGATGGTGTCAGCATAAACAAACGCAAGAACTCGGTGAGCGTGCTAGATATCACCATGCACGCACGCGAAGCATACACACGCCGCACCACGTAACGCCACGCACTGCAGCATCACACGCCACGCACGCTACGCACGCAGCCGCCGCACCACCACCCACAACCACACCACACACGAACACACAACAGCACACACAACAATTCACCCACACGCGCGGCGCAAAGAGAGTTACAGGCCCAGTATTAGCGTATAATGCATGTAAAACGCACGTTATTTCGTTAACTGTGTGACAACTTTAATTGATGGAAACGATGCGAGATGTACGCGTAAACAAAAAATATATCAAAAACAATGTCCGATATCGGGATACGCACTTGCAACAACAATGTTATAATAACGTGGCAATCACGTTTATTTGGCTGATGAAGCGATAATGGGACATAATTTACTCTTCGGCGTGAAAATAATGTCGATTTCGAATGCGCATTGTCAATACAACACATCTATATAGAACACAGACACTTACGTTGATACAAATAAATTAACTTCGGATTCGACATGCGATTGATAATATACAACACATTTAATGTACATAGATTAACATTCGATTAATGTTTAACATTTGGAACATTTTTACATTTTTCTACATACATTGTACGCAAATAAATTCCACATGCCGGATTTGTCAATGACAATGTTATCGTAAAATATTACTATCGGTGACGTAATAATGCGAATGGCATCGTCGACGCCCTTGGCAGACCGTGTTCGATATTTGTGACGACTGCTATAGCGTCAGCGACGGCCTTGGTCAGACGAAGGCTTCATTCTCATCGATGACGGAGGATCCCACGAGCGACCAAGTTCACTACAAGCCGGCCGTGTATGAGGCGCCCGACGCACCGCGGACAGACGACATGTACAGCCACTTCAGTGCCGTATCTCGCATGGGGCTTTAGCGTTTAGGTTTTAGCGTTAGGATTTGGTATTTGATGTTATTAATCTTTTGTCCTGTTTACTTCTTTACACACACTGCACAACAGCCACGCACGTACGCACGCGTAGCTACACTATCACGTACGCACGCAACACATCCATACTCATTAAACACGCATACAGCACGCACACCGCAGTCATCACAACACAATCACAACACACACACACACACAGGCACACACACCACACACGGACACACACACACCACACACCAGCACACACAACCCACACACACACACACATTACACACGCGCGCACGCATACACACACACCCACACACAACACACACACACACACACACACACACACACACACACACACACGCGCGCGCGCACACACACACAAATACACACGCACGCACGCACGCACGCACACATATTTTTCTAGTAGTTGTCAGTGGCCACAACAAGACCTACTATCCATTGAATATGAAATAACCTGGAGCCTATGAATAATGGCAAAACCTGTGCTCGCGGCGTGTTATAAGAAACGTCCGTGTTTTAACATCATGGCCGAATTTCTGTCTCTAATTCTGTAAGGAAATTGCTGCGACCATTAGCAGCAGTACTCGCTGCATGACGCTGTCTCCTGTCTTATTTGCGATCATATTCACCCTTGAACTGTTCTGAAAGAGAAATCACCATCCATCTATTTCGCAGGTGTTTAAATTCCCTGACGCCCAGGACGTGTATCTGCAGTGTCAGTGCATGGTGTGCTACGAGCGCTGCTACAGGGTAAGCGACCACAGCGCCATCGCGTGGCAACAATAATTGTTCTCATTATATCTATTATAATAGCAGAGCATATAAATAATTGATTTATATGCTCTGATAGTAGCCGATGGACGTACGAGCACATATTAATTTGCGGGGAAAAACGCGAAAAACATAGTTTTCTATGGTTGCTATTTCCACATCGTACATCCAGAGAATGCTTCTTATATTTCCCTTTGCAAGCTTCTACGCCTCAGTACGTGTAGCTATTGTGTCTATAATAGTCAGTATATCGGTTTACATACATATTTATTTCGCACACATGCTTATACATATACGTTTACATATACATATACGTTACATCAGGAGCGTATAATGACAAATTTACGAATTTATGATTTACGATTTTTACGATTTTACGAATTTACAAATGTACAATGTACAATTTACAATGTACAAATTTACGATTTTTATAATGACAAATATATTTGTCATTATACGCTCCTGGTTACATATACATTTACACATATTAGCACACATATTTATTTCAGCGGAGATTCAACGGCGTATACCGGCAGTAGCCCGATGCAAACGCTTGTTTCGTTATCTAGCCGCAGTGTGACGGATCACCGCGCAGGAGCAATCACTTGATTGGCGCTGCCAGCAAACAACCGGTGACCGGTCGCATCTTTGGACGCAACAAGAGAGCGGCGGACGGCGCGTCACGAGATGACGTCATCGAGGAGGAAAATTCGCAGACGAAGATCGAGCAGTTGGAAGAGACGAAGATATTTCAGAAGTTCAAGGTGGAAATTCCTGGCGAGGAGCGACTGAGTGACGACCGTAAGTCAATTACTTTCTTTTCCTCCTTTTTCACTAATGTACATAATTTAATGAATACACAAAGATCACTTATTTTAATAATCACCAATCACATAAAAAAAAATCCGCATTTATATCGAACTTCTCTCTAAACTACATTATCAAATCTATTAATGAAACGAATTAGTAAATATTGAGTAATAAGTACTACTTATTTAAGTATATAAATCTTATATATTATATTTTAAACATAAAAAAAAGAAAAAGAGTTAGTATTGTTGAATTCGTCAAACAGTAAAATTTTTAATGATTGTTTCTCATCTCTAGCGTTGGCGTCGGGGTCCGGTACAGTGAAGGGTCAGCACGCAGCGACGTGCGTACCTCAGGAAGTTTTCATCGCAGTGCTGGTGACCGTCGTAGCGATTCTGCTGGTATCCATCACCATCTCCACCGTGCTCTACGTGAGGATGCAGCGGCTGGCTCGCCTCAACGAGAAGCTGATGCAGAAAACCAGCATCACGCGCGCTGAGATCGTCAGACGCTCGAGAATCGAAGCTAACCGCACGCGCGCGCCACCTGGCGGTCAGAGCGCCTGCGTAAACGAGATGAAGGTGATGCGTTCGAGCCGAGCGCCATCTGACGGCGAAAACCTCGTCGGTTGTGCGGAGTGCAAGCAGTGCGTTAGCAGCGATTTGCGCTGCAGCTGCGAGAACCAAGGATACGTAAATGTAGATCGTCATTAAATAGAATATAGAGTACGCTACCATGCCGCTCTTCATGTAACACGATGAGGCCGCACAACTACGCAAACGTGGGGCACGATAGAAACGCGAATGCGATGGATGTACGAGCAAAAAATTTATCAAACTAGATAATTATGTTTACCTCATTGGCACTCACTCGCTTTGCACGTCCGAACTGATTTTCAAACACATGCAAAGGCGACCTGGCGTAGGAGTAGATCTAGAAAATCTAGCTCAGAACGAGTATGTAAAAAGAAGAATATAGCGTTTTCGTGTAGGATGTAATGACTAAGGCATCTATGCATGCTACGTAGTGGCATTTGTTTTTGAGGTATTTCTAATTCATTGTGCACACGGGCATGTACATATAACACCCACGGTATGGTACAACCTAATTAACTTATAAACTGGCATCGATAATATAGAATAATATTATTTGTCTAGAAGTAAAGGTTGATGATAGATTTTTTTCGTATGTATTTTTTATATAGCGATAACGGTTTTTCTATTTAAACTGCGGTGATGACAATGATAGCTTTGTTAATCAACTCGTGCTGAGAAATGCATGATCATGGTGAATGACGCAATCGTTTTGTGTATATATTTAAACCGATTTATGACGATGTGTAAATTTGCTGAAAATAAATACGTTTTATATACAGTAAGATGCATTGAATGTAATATCACGGTTGTTTTTCGACTATCTATTCATCTTAAATTAACATAAATAAATGGAACGCGTCTTGTCTTTCCAATTTTCGTATGTCCCGACATTTATAGCTTATACGGTCAGATCTGTGTGTGCGCATGCCTATATAGTATCTGCGAAAAAAAAAATCATTTTGTTGCCATTATACGTTTATAGCAGAGACCACATACCATCAATTAAGTAGTTAGATATGGAAAATGTCCGTCGTAATCTTTTATATTGCACTCAAACAGTGCACATAAAACAAAACATTGGGATGAGCGTTTCCCACATCAAACTACTCTCAGTTGTCTGCTCTTTTCTTTAAAAGTGCATATTCAACACAATATGTTTACATTCGGCAGATACTGAACATGCGCGAACCCAGATCCTGTTCCATAAAACATAAAGAAAACTTGTCCTCTGTTCTGGTAATCCTGTCGTTCGTCGGTCTATCGTTCGTTACTTAAACGCATTATTTCCACTAACGTACCCAACTAACTTATCGCGCACCCAATCGCGCACACAACTCACGCACCCAATAGGTTTCATAACCAATATTTTCTGCCTCTCTTCTATCCCTAATCAAAATAGGGAACGGGTGGTCTATGTCCTAGGTTAAAAAGATGTCATTCCTCAACTCTTTGAATCTAGAAATCTTGAGTAGAGCCTATAAAGAGAGAGAGAGAGAGAGAGAGAGAGAAAGCGAGAGCGCACGAGATGAGAGAGAGAGAGTTACCGCGCGTGAGCGGAGAGGAGAGAGAGAGAGAGAGAGAGAGAGAGAAAGAAAGCGAGAGAAAGAGAGAGTCTTCCTTTAAGAAGTAGCGAAATAGACGGAGAAGGGTAGTTGACTGGCTAGAGGAGTCTGACTCGACGCTGGACGGGTGTCGGGCCGCCTTGGTTTTAGTTGACCATGCAGGTTGCGTTATGTATCTCGTAACACACACACAGACACACGCACGCACGCACGCACGCACGCACGCACGCACGCACACACACACACACACACACACACACACACATATATATATATATATATATTCAAGGATTTCGACCATGATTGCGGTCTACCAATTTGTCGACAGCTTACAGCCCTACATTGACTGGACGCGGGGGTATACAATGGGATATGGTTTATTGCTTTTTTGGTGAACGCTACGACTATTTTTACGGCTGTCGCACTATCGCAATATCGCACTATCGAGTTACTAATATCAGGAGTATCTCAGCATAGATTTCTGAAATAAATTATTATTAGTTGACATGTGTTTATAATTAGGAGAGCGCACCTGTAGGGTGCAAAATTCCTACTTCTTCCCCTTTCGTCCTTCCTTTGCCTCTCTTGTCCCTCGCCCAGCCCCCTTCAACGGCGACCGACGTCGCATCGCCATTTGCCCCTACATGAGCATAGCTGGGAATCGTGGCGCGATGTTGCGAGCGAAGTGAAGCATTCAGATCAGATTTTACCATGCACACGTGCTGTCAGCCTGTCCGGCTCCAGTTTAAACGTATAAGAACGGATGACGAATATTATCTTGGCAGTTAACGGCGGCCGACGTCGCAGCGCCATTTGCCCATACATTAGCATAACTGCATGGGAATCGTGGCGCGATCTTGCGAGCGAAGCAAAGCATGTAGATAAGATTTTACCATGTAGATAAGATTTTACCATGCACTTACCACGCAAATAATATTTTGCAAAGATAATGCATTAATGCAGACAAATGAAGAGGAGTTATCCTAACATAGATTTATATGATTATATTCTATCAGTAGACAACTCTTAAATGGTCGCGTCTGGCGTCCTGGAAGTACCCGTTCCCCTTCCGCTCCTTTAACATGTAAACTGCGAGTATACGTAGCCACGCGTATATAGGAGCAACTGTCCATGGATACGACGAACCTCACCGCGAACCTCATCCAACCAAGTAATTCGCCGCCTTGTCTCGGTATTTTAGTATAGCTCATAAGGTCTATGTCCCCTAGGGTACTATCGGAGGGTACCCTGGGGGACATAGACCCTCTCAGCTTTCGTATAAGATGACATCAGGACACTTCCACGTCCGTAGGAATGTCTACAGGACACGCACTCTCTCTCTCTCTCTCTCGCTCGCTCTCTCTCTCTCTCCTCTCTCTCTCTTTCTCTCATTAAATTTCTCTCCTCTCTCGACTCCCACTTCTCTTCTCATCTGACTCTTCCTTCTCTGTTCTGTCTGTCGCTCACTCTCTTCGTTCGCACTCTACCTTCTTTTAGCTTCAATAAATAGCAGCTATGACTACTTAACACCCACGGCATAATTGCCAAAACCGCTCGTTAACTGGTGTATCGCGTGAATAACGCCAAATTTACACAGAACAATGAGCTACCTCGCAACACCATGATTGCAGTTTTTCCAGGAAACAGATGCATGGAAGCCAGCCGCTTGAGGAGCAAACTCTCAGTGTTTACGCGCGTCCGTAACACTAGGCATGCCACGGGTGTGAACATGACTTTGTGTTACATAATTCGGTTGCGAAATGCGCCGTTGTGATGCTCTTTACGTAAATTAGAACATGTTGACTGTTCTCGCTGACGCTGGTGGTGTGACGGAGGTGTCACAGGTAAAATTTATGGGAGGGTGTGCGTGTATGTTATGTGTGTGTAATTTGTGTGTTGTGTCGTGTGCTGTGTGTGTGGTGCTGTTATGTGTGTGTGTGTGTGTGTGGGTTGTGTGTGTGTGGGTGTGCTGTGTGTGTCCATGTGTATGTGCGTGGTGACTGTGTGTGTGAGTGTGTCGTGTGTGAGTGTGTGTGTGTGTGTGTGTGTGTGTGTGTGCGTGTATGGATGTGTGTGGTATGTGTGTGTTTGTGTGTGTGTGGTGTGTGTGTATTTGTGTGTGTGTGTGTGTATATTGTGTTGTGTGGGTGTGTTGTGTGTGTGTGTGTGTGTTGTGTGATGTCGTGTGAGTGTGTGCAGTTGCGCGGATGGTGTGTGCGCTTGTGCGTGCGATTACAGGATACGCTCGCGGATATTAAGAAATAAAAGGTAGATATCCTCTCAGTATACTTAGGGATATCTACCGTGAATGCGACCGATAACCTAATGACATCTCAGCGGCACAATAAACTAACAATAGTTAACTGGTTACGGATCTATCACTGAGTGCTGAAATAGGCTGATTTCGCATTAGATAAGACGGCCTAGAAAAGACTGTTCAATGACAAAGAGATCGCAGCAATACGATACACAACATGCCGATAAGCGATCAAACGCCAATACTTCATAGCACCCCCGTACCGTGCTTGTTTTAGCGATTAAGTACGTCACCCCCCCCCCCCTCCCCGCCGCACGAGTTCAACGAGGTGCTGATATATTGGCCGAAAATAATTATATGTTCACGTCACACGTAGACGTACGACGCACGGCGATTATCGAAATGACTAACTTTCGCTCCATTTGTCATCTGCCACGTTTGCTTTTTTCGCCGCCCATGTCACATCGGTCGATGCCGAGGTTGGTGTGATGGTGGTGGTCTACGATGTATGACTACGATGTCGTGTGTGTTAACGATGTAACGAGTTAACGATGTTTTTGAGTTATCGTAGTCATTCATCGTAGTTCATACGGTCACACACACACATATCGTGGATCACCCGGTTATCATTGAGGTCTCGAGAGTCTCCGAGATCTCTCTGGCGGTTGTGCGAACTGCCGCTGGCATGCTGTGACGCAGTGCATTGGCGCATGATGAATGTGGTGTGAGATAAACGGAAACTTGACACTCGCAGCACTCGCGTGTGTGTAACTTCCTTAGTTTGTTCTCTGCGGGGGTAGGGGGGGGCTTCGCAGCACGCCGCACGGACCATACGGCATAGCTGAATGTGGTGTTGTGTGTTCGTGTGTGTTGTGTTGTGTGTGTGTTGTGTTGGGTGCGTGCGTGCGTGCGTGCGTGCGTGCGTTTTTTGGGGGCCGGTTTTTTTTGTCGTGCGTGGTATGCCTCTATTCCACACAGACACGAATCCACACGAATTCGCTGTACGAATTTGCATAAAAATTTATAGGATTCGTAGTGAATCGACTAATCATTCGTGAAGTCTTAACTGATTCGTCATTTATTCTAGTTCAGTTCTTTCAATCTTGAGCGATCGGATATTCGTGGCAAAGTTTTGTTAGCTGTTCAAAATTTTTTGAGCGACGGAACCTCTTGATTCCAAAAATCGTAGTTAATTCGCTAACAAATTCGTCAGGCATGCTTTAGGCCCATCGGTAACTGATCGTACGATCGTACCTGTATGCGTACAGAATCGTAGAGCGTCACGCTCATTTGGAAGAAATTTATGCAAAATTCAACGAATCCTCACGAAGTCCTAATAATTATCAATTCTTGGCGATTCGTAGGATTCGTGCGTGTCGTGTGGATATAGAGGCTAATATGCGTGCTTTGTCTGCATGCTGCTTGGGTGCTTCGTAGTTGTAGGTATGTGTGCTTGCGTGTCGTGGGTGTGATGCGTGCGTGTGTATGTGCGTGCCGTTAAATAGAGAGACGCGGAACAAATGTAGATGTCGGTCACGTTTGCCCTACATCGTTATACACGCTAGGCTTTTCTTTTATACGCCCTATACCTGAAATACTTGCTCAGGCCTTAGCACCCTATCCCTTTTCTCGGATTTCTCATTTGCATGCACCTAATATTCTCTTGACCCTCTGACGCTCTGTTGACCTCATATCCCCCGCTCTCTCCTCTCTCTCTCTCTCTCTCTCTCGACTCTCTTCTCTCTCTCTATCTATCTCGCTCTCTCTTTATCGCTCTCACTCACTTCTCATTTTATGCCCAGCTTCCTTCTCTCACTGGTTCTTTTTCTCCACCCATCTCTCTCTCTCTCTCGCTCTCTCTCTCTCTCTCTCTCTCTCTCTCTCTTATACCCGCGATTCCCCCTCCCTCACTTTGCTACTTCCCGTACTCTTGGCACTGCA